GGCCCCTCAGCCGGGCTCGGGGGCCGCCTGGCTCAGAGGCAGCCCCGGCTGCGGGGGTCCCCGGGGGTCTCTGGGGAGGGGGCGGCAATGGGGGCTGCCGGAGCTCTGTGCCCGGGGCTGGGAGCGGCTGCCGAGGGAGCGGAGCATGCAGGCTCCCCCCGTGCTGGGGCTTGCTCTGCCCGCCTCAGGGGCTGCATTGTCAGCCCAGAGCCACGTGGGGATCGCCCGGGACCAGCGGGGCTGGCAGGGAAAGCAGCAATGGGGGCAGCAGAAACGGGCAATGCCAGAGCTGGGGGTGCTCCCGAAGCCCCCCAGATGTTGGGAGCATGGACAAGGGGGCCCAGGGATACCCCAGGAGCCTGAACCAGGGAGCCCAAACAGTACTGACCACGCAGGACTCCTGGGATGCCAAAGTGGTGAGGCACAGTGCTGACCACGCAGGACTCCTGGGATGCCAAAGTGGTGAGGCCAGAGAAGGGGAACCTCCTGGCTTGCCAGGAGCCCCAGCAGACAGAGACGGGGAACAGCAATACGAACTTGACCCACAGCAATCCAGACAGGGGGGGCTTCCAGGAACCCACAGTGGAGGGACCAGAGAGGGTAAATGCATGGATGGGTGTTTTTGGTGAATCTTGACCATTTGTGTATTTTAGGGGACTGAATATTAGTGTTTTGGTGGTTTATATGGGCACCAGGTGCCCGGTGACTTCTAGGGATGGACTTGGAGAGTAGGAAACCCCTAACCCAAAGTGCTCATCCATTGCATTTTCTGAAACCAGGATTTCTGATTCCTAAACTTTGGCTGGATGGAGAAGGAGGCTGTGAGGAAGAGGAAGATGCTCCAGGACACCCAGGCAGGTGAGGAGGAAGTCAGTGCCCCTTTCCCCCTCTCTCCTGCTCCATCTCCCAGCCCAGCCTGGCCCCCGGCTGCAGGACAACCCCGCTGCCAACGCCGTCCTGCCGGGGACGCACTGGGGGGATCTCCTTCCCCTTCCCTCTGGCACGGAGGCAAATCCCATCCTCTCCTTGTCCTTGCTCCCCCAGACAAGGAGCTGAGGATGGAGAGCAGGGAGGACAAAAGTCTGCCGGAGAACCTCGTGGAAGAGGCAATTTTGAGCAGCTCCACAATGCAGGAATCCAACAGGGAGGAAAATCCCCAGAGATCTCACAGGAGGAGGGGCTCCAAACCCATCCCAGGGTGCTCTGAGGAGGAAAGACCCACCCTGTGCCGGGAAGGCGGCCGGAGATCCAGCCGGGGCTCTGAGCTGGTGATCCATGACCAGCTTCAGGATGGGGAGAAGCCCTACAAGTGCTTGGAGTGTGGGAAGAGCTTCAGCCAGAGCAACAGCCTGATCAGCCACCAGATGATCCACACTGGGGAATGGCCCTATCAGTGTGGGGAGTGTGGGAAGGGCTTCAGTTTCAACTCCCACCTCATCATCCACCAGCGCATCCACACTGGGGAGAGGCCCTATGAGTGTCCCGAGTGTGGGAAGAGGTTTCACAGCAGCTCCAGTCTTGTCCTGCACCAGCGGATTCACACGGATGAGAGGCCCTTCCGCTGCCCTGACTGTGGGGAGGGCTTCAAGCGAAACTCCCACCTCATCAGACACCGGCGCATCCACACTGGGGAGAGGCCCTACGAGTGTGGGGAATGTGGGAAGAGCTTCAGCCACAGATCCAACCTCAATACCCACAAACACATCCACACTGGGGAGAGGCCTTACAAGTGTACCCAGTGTGGGAAGAGCTTCTCAGACAGGTCTAACTTTGGCAGACACCAACGGAGGCACCGGTAAGGGAAGCCCTGCAAGTGCCTCAAAATACAGGAAGAGCTTTGTGCACTGCTCCAGCTTCATCCGCCCATGGAGGATCCACGTTGGAAAGAGACCTGGTGATCCATGTTCCCTGGGATCCATGCTGGGAAGACACCTGTACCTTTTCCTGCCCATGGCAATGTCATGATGTGGGATCAAAGAATGTGAGACTGTGATCATGGTCCATTATATTCAATCCCATCTCAGGTCATTGCCAGGGGCAGGAAAAGGACTCCCTCTCTCTCACCAGAGAAGGGTGTCCTTTCTTGGCAGGAGGAAATACGTGTCCAGGAAGAGTCAGTTGGTGGTATTTTAGTTTTCCCTGTGAATGGTTTGTCTTATCCTTTCTGTTACCAAAATTGTTTCTGTGTCTGTTTGTTCCTTATCCTGTTGCTGTTTTTCATAAATTCTTCTTATCCCAGCCTGGGATCTTTGCCTTTTGTGCTTTCCATGGGAGATGGGAGGGAAGCGAGCAGCAGCGCGGTTTCAGCAGGAGCAGGAAATTGGGGAATGCCATTCCTGAAGCCCAGCCCGTGGAAACCGAGCATCCCAGCTGGTGCCAGGCCTGGTTGCCATGGCAGCAGCCTTGGGAGCGGGTCCCTGGCTGGGGGCTGCGGGAACCTCTTCCCTCTGGTGCCCAGGGACAGGAGTGGAGGGAGCGGCTGGAGCTGAGGCGGGCAGGTTTAGGCTGGATGTGAGGAAAAGGTTTTTCCCGCGAGGCTGCTGGGGCACTGAACAGGCTCCCCAGGGAAGGCTCCCAGCTCCAGGGCTGGCTGAGCTCCAGCAGCGTTTGGCCAGCGCTGCCAGGCCCAGGCTGGGATTGTTGGGGTGTCCTGTGCAGGGCCAGCAGTTGGACTGGAGGATCCCCATGGGTCCCTCCCAACTCAGCCAATTCTGTGGCTCTGGGATCCCATGAGCCTGGGGATGGGACTGCAAATTGTTGCCATGGCAATGG